ATATATATATATATTAATAGCAACAAAAGATACAAATAATTATATTCAAGCATTCCCATATTTGACAAACTAAAAAAAAAGTCAGGACTAAAATAAAAAATAGTTATTTATAGATAAGATATAATTTTCCCTAAAAAATATAAATTTAAAATTAGCCTTTTTTTTTAATTTTCAAATGTTATACTAATGGCATTTATGTAAAAGTATTGATGATAAATAGTGCTTAAAAATAAAAATGGGGCATTTACATGCACATCATACAATTCACATATATTTATAAATTAAATATTTAAAATTTCATTTTTATATATAGAAGGACTTTTAAAGTGAAATATACACGTATAATACAAACAAAAATATTAAATTTTAAGTGTTAGATAAATAAATATATAAGCATTGTGTCTAAAAAAATCTGAAATATGTCTCAATTACACATATAATAAATATCAATTACATAAACTATTAAAAATATTTTAAGCATTTAAATTTTAAAAATAAGATATTAATTCCTTTTTTCTTTTTTCATTACAAAACCCGCCTAAACCCACTCATAAAATTTTGAGTGAGTGATTAAGATATTATATTTAAATTTTAAATAATTTAAGATATTATTTTAATTATTTTGGAGGATTAATATGTAAAAATTCTTTTGATATATACCTAAAATAAGTACTTAACTAAATATTGCATCATAAATAAAAATAAGTAAAAAAAAATCGAAATGTAAATAGGAAAAAAAAAGGGAAAAAAAAAAAGAAAGGAAATGAAGGAAGTGTAGCGTCGCCGATTTTGCTCCACCAGCTGTAATACGAACCGCCTCCGCTTCTAACTCCCACTCCCAAACCCTAACCACTGATATAGAGAGAGAGAGAGATAGAGAGAGAGGATAGAGGGAGAACAAAGCCGCGGAAAATCGCGAGAGAAATTGCAGCAAAATTAGCGGATAGAATTGAGAAGAAGACAGCGCAGCAAGGGGAAGACGTTTGTGTGAAGAGGAAGAGAGAGAGAGAGAGGGGAAGGAAGGGGTAGGGTTTCCAATTATACCATTCGTGACCGCGGCTACAATTCTTCTTGTCCGATACGAGCGTTACTTTTCAAGCAACGTGAAACATCCGGAGGGCATCAAGAAAAGGGTTTGGTTTTCAGGCTTTGGTTTGAGGTCTCCGTGTCGTACAAAGGGGAGGCTGATCGCATCTCTGGTCCATTTTCGGTTCTCTTCCTTGTGTCGGCTCTGCCGACGGGTCTGCTATCTAGGGTTTTCACGGAAACTGCAGTTTTTTATATTTTCGTTCATTCCTTGGTCTGGGATATTCTCATGGGTCAGATGTGGAAGGAGATCATTGGTTCTTAGGGTTGGTTGTTTCTTCAGCGTTGTTTTGGATTCACTCTGGGTTTGCAGATGGGGTTCTAATTAGGGCAGCCCATGGTTTGTTAGATATGGATTGCCTGTGATGAAGGGGTAGAGATTGAGGCCTTATCTGATTAAGACTGGAATTTGGGAAAATTACTTTATTTTTGTAGCATCCTTGGAGGCATCAAAGCCATTTGGGCTGTCAGGCTTGAATTTCTGGATTTAAGTGGTTTAATTTCTTGTCATTAGTTATATTGATTGGAAACACAAGTATTCCCTAACCCCTCTGTTTACAACCTGCTCCTTCTTTGAAATATTTGTGTTTAGAGGTGGTTGTGGACCTCTGTACAGAATAATGTGGAGAAGAAGAGATATTAAATTGAGTTTTTGTTTGTATGATGACACAAACGCATAGACACCAGCTCCATTTTTCTGGGCTTTTATGATGAGCTTTCACTGCAATGGAACGCACTGAGCCGACTTTTGTTCCAGAGTGGTATAAAGTTTCACACAGCAGTGCACAAGGCAGTGGCAATTCAAACCACCAAAGTGGTTTATCATTGCACACAGGTATAAATTCAACAAAATCATTTGGTTTTTTTTATTTTTTTATTTTTTGACACTTTGGTACTTGTTAATCATGCAATTGTTTAAATTGGCAACAGATGAACACAACATTGGCTTTTCTTCAAGAAACAGATTGACAGTGAGTGTTTGTGATAATGATGCTCCTCGCTCCTTGTCTTTCTCAGAGAGAAGCTCATCTTCTTTCCGAAGAAGTACCAGCAGCAATGGTTACATTGTGCGTGAGAAAGATTTTTCTTCGCGTGCTTACAATAGCTTTAGTAGAAACCATCGAGATAGGGATAGGGATCGAGAGAAGGATTTTGAAATCCATGACCGAGATAGGCCTTTTGATGATGGATTTGGTGACTATCCTGACGTTTTAGTCACTGGTAAATCTGAAAAGGACTCTTTAAAGCGTTCTCAATCAATGCTCTCAAGAAGGAGGGCTGATCCTTGGCAGAGGAGAGCTAGTCATGATTCAAGCAATGGTTTTCAGTCAATGGGGGGCAGTGGCAGAGTCAATGGAACTTCTAAATCATCATTTGAGAGAGAGTTTCCTTCTCTCGGAGCTGAAGAAAAGCACGCGGGCTCAGATGTAATCAGAGCTTCTTCTCCTGGCCTTAACACTGCCTTTCATAATCTTTCTGTCAGTGCTTCATCTATCATCGGAGCTGATGGCTGGACATCTGTGTTGGCAGAGGTTCCTATTGTAGGAAGTAATGGGTTGATTGTTTCATCTTCTTTCCAAACAAGTTCTGCAATGGCACCTGCTGCTTCAAGTGTTTCCACTGGTTTAAATATGGCTGAAACAGTGGCTCAGGCTCCTGCACGAGCTCGCACAGCGCCTCAAGTAATGTGGCATATAACTTTTATAAAAAATAATTTTTCTTGAAGTTGTTTTCTTATATAATATTTGGTGGCAGTTACCCAGTGACTCACAAAAAATGGAGGAATTACATCGCCAACAAATTTTGAAGCTTAGACCCGTGACACCTTCCATGCCTAAAAACTTGGTAAAATCAGAATTTTGACTATAATTTATTTTTTGTAATCAAATCAGGAAATATTTTATTAGATTTAATGACTCTGTTTGTTGTTTTGTCTTTTCTGTTGCTTATAAAAACCTGCGATATCACAAGTTTGATCAGCTAGAAAATAGACCATAGAATTACTCTTGGTTATAGTTTAACTGCAATATTGCTTGTCATAGCTCTAATCCTTGCAATCTTTTGCATTTTATTTGCTTGTTAGCAAAGGATATTTCTTGCTTCATGTAAAATAGTTGATTCTATGTTGATTGATTACTGGCAATTATGTTTAAACTAATTATTTTTATAACTTTTGGATTCACATTCTTAATAGAATTCCATTCTAACTTTCTAATTGTAAGTGATGCTTATGGTTTTAGCATCTTATGCTAGATTTTGATGGGACTTGATATGCAAGCCATATCCAACTAAACTTGTGGTAGAATTTAACATATGGGTTTCTGGTTCCATGGTGCAAAGTGCAGAACGCAAATAGCACTTGATGTTGAGGTGGAATGAAAACATGTAAAATTTTCAGCAATTAGTGGAAATAACTTAAAATTGCTAGTTACATGATATTTTATTAGTAGTATATGCTGTTTAGAAAGTCATAGAAAGTAATAAAGGCAAAATTGGCACGCTAGTTCTGTAGCTAACATAAGAGGAGTTCCAAAAGGGGTAGAAGGGGCATTGCTTTTCAACGAAAGAGAGGTTGGCAGGTTTGTGGATAATGGGATTCTTTACTTATACAACAATGCTTGTTTTTGCTTGTTCATTTCCTTGAAGCTCAAATGATTCTTCCATTTGTTTTGCTATGATTTTTATTTTGTTTTTGTTTCTATCATAATTTTTTGTCATCAAATTCTTTGGTGAAAATGATGGAACTCAATTATTCTTTTTGTTGTTATTATATGACGGTGAGGTGGCATGTGCTTTTAAGAAGCATTGTTATGCTCTTTTTAGCATTTTACATATGCCTTGCTTAGTCCTAGTTATTTGTATGCGTACACAATTATAAATTGCAATACGCTTGAGGTTGTTGGGGATGATTTTGTATTTTCATTTTCTACTTTTGTTTTCCATTTTATTTTGTTTATGTTTTGATATGAAATGAAACATGATTGATGTCTTAAATAGGTTGTTTTTTTGTTGCTTTTATTTGATTTTACATGAGTTGATATATTTGATGGTGGAAAAAGTGGGGTTGATGATGATAGGGTGAAAGAGGCATCATGGCGATGATGGACATTGGGTGGAGAAGTTGGGGGTAGGGTGGCCTGCAAACGAACTGAGCATAGCCGAGCCGAGCAAAACTTGTTCATTTGTATGCATGTACAATTATAAATTGCAATACCTTTGATGTTGTTGGCGGGACAAAGTTGGGAACATTAGGTGGAGAAGTTGTTGGTAGGGTGGCTGATAAGTCTGCAAATGAACCAAGCCAAGCTAAGCCGAGCAGAGCTCATTTATTAAGAGCCTATTCAAGCTCGACTTGAGCTTGATTTGAGGTTTTAAGATTATGTTCGACTTTGAGCTAGTGTATAAGTACATTGATTGAGCTCGATTCTTATAGGGATTATCGAGCAACTCGTTTAAAAAATAACCTATTCATAATCGAATTTTACTCGAGTTTTATATATGTAGCTTGTCTGTCAGGAAAAATAAACGAGCCATATCAAAAAATGCTTGTTGAACATAAAAGTAAATATGTAAACTATATCATTCATGAACAAGTAATAGAGTCTTAATTTAGCTTATTTATGAGCATTAAACGATATTATTCATAAATATAAATGAATCAAACAATAAGTTGTTCAAGCTTGCTCATTTAGGCTTCGCTTGGAAGAGCTTTTATTCTGCTTATCGCTCTACAAAAACTCAGAAAGTTCTATTTGGTCGCAATACTTTCATAAAAACACTTTTCAAAAATCTCTTTTTTTTCTTTTAGCAGTTGCAGTTGTTTCCTTAGTGGTGGAGGTTAGTGTGAGTTAGGTAGTTGGTACAAGATTAGACAATCTCAACTATGAGTTTGGCTAGTGTGGTGTGCAATGTTTGGTGGTTGAGAGTTTCTATTTTGAAAATAATCAAAACACTTAAAAGCATTTTGAATATTTTTTTTAAATAACTTGACTTGGTATTGGAAAAGAAAAATATATAACATCAAGCAAGCAACAACTTCAACAACAAACCTCTATCCCGCTAAGTGTGGTCGGCTACATGAATCCTTGTTCTCCATTTTCTTCTTTCGAGTGTTTTTTTTTCATTTAATTCTAATAAATTAAGATCATTTTTTATATGTGCCCAAGTCTTGTTAGGTCTATCTTTACCTTAACATAAGTCAAATCTAAAACACTATTCCTTTAACTGTGCCATTTAATGGTCGATGTTTAATGTGGCCATATTATCCAAAGCGACTCTCTCTAATCATTTCCACCGTTGGAGCTACTCCAACTCTTTCACAAATATATTTATTTCACATTTTATCTCTAAGTGTAAAGCCACTCATCCACGAGGATTCTCATTTCAACAATACATAATTTTATGCTTCTCTTTTATAGGCCAACATTCTACACCATTAAGTGTTGCAGGTCCACCACCTTCCTATAAATTTTTTATTTTAAGTCCAAGCATACTTTTCTATCACACAATAAGCCTAATGTTTTCCACCACTTGAGCCATCCAACTTGAATTCTATCACACAATATTAGAATGCATGGGTTATTTGATTGGATGCATGTTAAATGCACTGAAATGTTTTTTTTTTTTTTCTGGGGGTGTATTTTATGATATATTTCAAATGCCTTGAAATATGGTGGCGCTAGTTGAGGGCAGTTGGTAGTGAATGTAGGTGGCTTTGGGCAACTATAGTTGGCGTTGCGCCATTAATAAATGGGAATTACGCTGTTATTTGGAAATCGACAGTTTGAGTGATTTTCATATGCATGGAATATAGGAATTTGGGGGTATTTTAGATCCCTTAAAATTTTTCTTTGCATTCTTTTTGCTTCAAACCCTTTATCCCACTAAGTAGGGTCAGTTACATGAATCCTTTTTCTCCGTTGCATTCTATTTAGTGTCATATTTTCATTTAATTCTAATAAATTAAGATCATTTTTATATAAAATATGCCCAAGTCATCCCAGGTCTACCTTTGCCTCTCTTAACATAAGTCAAATCTAAAACATCCACTGTTCTAATCGGATCATCAGATGGTCGACGTTTATTGTGACCAAACCATCTAAGAAACCATCTAAGACACGACGTTTATTGTGACCAAACCATCTAAGACAACTCTCTCTAATTTTATCCGTCACTCCTATCACGAATATATTTTCACGAATATATTTATTTCACATTTTGTCTCCAAGTGTAAAGCCACTCATCCTCCTAATCGCTCTCATATCGGCAACACTTAACTTAGTTTTATGTTTCTCTTTTAAAGGCCAACATTCAGTGCCATAGAGCATTGCAGGTCTCACCACCACCTTATAAAATTTTCCTTTGAGTCCATGCGATACTTTTCTATCACACAATTGGCCCGAAGCATTCCTCCAGTTCAACCAACCAACTTGAATTCTACTAATAACATGCACATCAATATTACCACCACTTTAAACAATAGACCCGAGATATCTAAAGAGTTCACACCGTTTAATAATTTGATCGCCCATAGTTGCATTTCTGTCACTAGAGCTACTACTACTAAAATTACATTCCATGTATTCAGTTTTAGTTCTACTCAAACGAAGGCCCTGCTCTTAGACTCCAAGGTAGACCTCCATAATTCAAGCTTTTCCCGAGCTTTTTCTCTCGTCTTATCCACGAGAAAGATATCATCAGCAAGAAGCATACACCAAGGTAAATCATCCTATAAGTGTCCAGACTATCCATAACTAAAGCAAATAGATATGGGCTTAAAGCCAATCCCTGATGTAAACCAACAGAAATAAGAAAATATTTGAGTTATCTAAAAAAGATGCATAATTTTAGGTTTTTGACCTACTACTGCTAATTTTTAGATTTGGAGAGCTATGCCTTGCATTGGACTAGTTTGATTAATGTTTTCAACGAGATCTTAAAAATAAAGAGGAATTCTTTGTTTAAGAAGAAGCATCTTTTATCTGGTGTTAAAAAGGAGTCTTTTTAAGTTGTAGTAGTTATTTGAGAATCAAACTCAGGAGTCATTTATGAAGTTATTGGAGCGAGTTGAGGGGAAAAAGTTGCAGAATTAATTATTGCTAAAGCTTTTTGTATCATACTAGGAAGATACATTGTGGAAACACTGATCATTTCGCTTGGTGATTTGCATTTGATTTCTAAAGTAGATGTCTTATGTTCAAATTGTACAAAAAAATAAAAAGAATTTCATTTCACTTAGGAGTCATTTATGAAGTTATTGGAGCAAGTTGAGGGGAAAAAAGTTGCAGAATTAATTATTGCTAAAGCTTTTTGTATCATACTAGGAAGATACATTGTGGAAACACCAATCATTTCGCTTGGTGATTTGCATTTTATTTCTAAAGTGGATGTCTAATGTTCAAATTGCACAAAAAAATTAAAAGAATTTCATGTAGATGTTTTTTGTTCGAAGCCAATTAATTAAAAATATATAGAGTACAGAATGGTGAGGAATTTCAAATTCTATCTATACCATTCTGACCCTTGAAACTCCCTCAAATAGTTTGTCTACAGTTCCTGGCTGTTGGAAACGACCGTTCTTATTAGCAAGTAATAACAACAAGCACAAGCTAAATATTAATCGATGATTTGGCCTAAGAAACCATTTTAATTATTGATTTTGTGCATTGATGACATTTGAATGATAATAAAGAGTTATAGCAAAATCTGTAGCTATTTATTCTAAGAAATTAAGTTTGATTCCTCGGGACAGTAAAATATATTTAAACGATGTGATACATATTTATATATCATCAGTGAATCGGTGATTGCTTGAATCTTGGGAATCAAAGAAGTCTTACTTGAGT